TTTCTGGTGCCATAGATGGTTCATCTATCTTCTGACTGTTGTGGGAAAGGACCGAGGAAAAATATTCTATGGGTACAGAATATCTGAAGAGTGTAGGAATGATCACATTTTAACACCATTTCTCTAACTAAAATCAATAGTCAAACTTTTTTTTTTAAGGTTTATTTCATGAGTGAGAATCTGAGAGAAAAAGAACAAAAGACACTCAGGCAGGTCCCGACACCTTGACACACCCGTCAGCCACCAGGATTCTGGGCACACGTGTGTGCAGCATACTCAGGGAAGTCTCCAGAAGCGAAACTGAAGCCTTCTCGTGTCGGTTAGCCTCAAAGAGCATCATATTTAAATACCACATTGCCATCTAGCCCCAGATGTTAGTCTTTTTAGAATGCTATTTTATTTTAGAATGCTATTTTAATAGTAAGATTTTTTAAATGGGGACATAAAAACAGGCAACAAAATCCTATTTCTTATTAAAAAAATCTATATAAATAAAGCCTTATGCCTTAAATGTAATTTGGAGATTAATATTATGAAGCGTAAATAAAAACATATAAATAGAATCTCTAACTCTAGAAAGGTTGGCATAGGCTCTTAGATCTGTACCTTTATTAGGTACTCAAGAATTATTAGCCCTTATATTAGCCATTAAGGCAATAATGTGAAAATTTTGGATAAAAATGTCTGATATGTTATAGCTATTTGATTAATGTTAGTTTAATTTAAGGTTGAAGAGGCCAAGTAGTGAATAACAGTTGACGAAACAATTTGAGATTCCTGTATAAAAGGGGATTTCAGAAACCAGCAGATGGCATAATGGTTACGTAACTGGACTCCCGCATAGTTGACCACAGTTTGAATCCCAGACCTGGTGGCTTAAAACACACTGGGTGCATGTGCATACGTGCCCAAAATCCCAAGAAGAGACTGAAGGAGAAGGGACTGTGGTATGGCCATCTCCCTGAGGGGATGATTTCTCACTTTTTCTCTCTCTGCCTCTCCAATGAATTTTGCCCTATAGCAAAACTCTCTCTTAAAAAGAAAAAAAGGATTTCAAAATGTTAAAAGTAGAAGCATTGTTTCCCCAGGTCATTTTTTTTTTTCATTTCAGTGAGACAGGTAAGTGGAAAGATTAATATACAATTTATAGAATATTAAATAATTTGGTCAAATACTTCCTCTAATACTTGACTAAACTTTTTAAAAACTAGATTAAAAGTGTCTTAAACTATTTTTTTCTTTTGGTATGGTATAATGTAAGTACACACTTCCAACCTTATTCAGGGCTTAAGGTCTGTTGATTATTCCATTCTGCATGTTGCCATAACAGCTCAGCAGATGGTATCCCATGAGGTAAACATGGGCATACAATAGCTGTTCATTCTTCTACCTTTTGATATCCAAGTATGGTCACACTTTGCTCCTGGTTGTATAGTGAACACGGTTAGCTGTGCACATAGCCTTCAGTTAAAGCACTGGAAAAAAAGATTAAAGATTATTCAGTGGGTTTTGGCTAGGATGAGGAGTGGAAGGAGGCAAAACCTTCTTTATTCATTCAGCCTACTGTAAGAATACTGCATTTCAGAATACCCTCATCACCATTTGTCCTCGGGAGAACTTTGAGAGAAAGAAGAGAACTAAGAGCAGTCATATTATGGGCTGAATTATGTGCCCCTCAAAATTCATAGGTTGAAGCCCTGGTCCTCAGTATCTCAGAATGTGATTGTATTTAGAGATAAGAGGTGATTACGTTTAAAAGAGGCCATTTGGATGGGCCCTAAGTCAGTTTGACTTGTGTCCTTATGAGGACATAAGTTTGGGCACACAGAGGTACCAGGGGCATGTGTGTGCAGAGGGATGAGTGTGTATACGGCAGCCATCTGCAAGCTGAAGAGACAGTCCAAGTATATTGGACTGCAGACTTGAAGAGAAAGGAAGAAGGAATTTGGGGAGTAACTATTGCAGGAGTCTCTCCTCTTAGGGAATCGTACTCAAATTAAACTGTTAGGGGACAGGGTTTGATGTGGCACTGACTCTCCAAGATCATTTGCATGAATTTATAGAAAGGGCAAAGAGCAAGCTCTCCTCTCTTGGTCTATGAATATTCCAGAGCCCATTTCCTAAATTAGCTAACTTTTAGGTTAGGGGCATCTTTAATTATTTTAAATACAAGGCAGATTTACCCTGAAGCTAATGAAACTTAAGCTTCATGGCCCCTCCAAGTCCCATATACTTGTATTAATTTGCTAAGATGGCTAAAACAAAATACCACAGACTTATGGCTTAAACAATAGAAATTAATTTCCTTATGGTTCTGAAAATTGCAAGTCCAAGAATAAGGTCCTGGCAGAGTAGCTTCTCCTGAGGCTTGTCTCTTCAGCTTGTGGATGGCTGCCCTTTTACTATGTTTCTACACACTCATTCTCTGAGAGACAGAAAGGGAGAAATCACCTTCCAGCGGGGATAGCCATGCCGTAATCCCTTCTCCTCCACTCTCCTCTTGAGATTTTGGGCATGCATACATAGGCGCTTGGTATGAGTTTTAAGCCGCCAGGTCTAGGAACCATGGTCAACTACATCGGAGTCCAGCAACGTAACCATTACTCCATCTGCTGATCCCCAGTTTTTTTTTTTTTTGAGAGAGATTTTCACTGTAGGGCGCGTGTGCTCGCCAGACAGACAGAGAGAGACATAGAGACAGCAAGCGAGAAATCACCCCCCAGGGGGGATGGTCACGCCGCAATCCCTTCTCCTCCATTCTCCTCTCGGGATCTTGGGCATGCACACACACGCGCCCGGCGTGAGTTTTAAGCCACCGGGTCCGGAACACGAACCGCGGTCGACTACGTGGGAGTCCAGCGACATAGCCATTACGCTAACTGCTGGTTCCCCTGATCCCCAGTTTTTCATCTTGATTGTAGTTGTGGCTATAGAAACCTAAACATACAATAAAATGTCATGGGTTTATATACAATGTCATACAAAAAATGAGTGCATGCCATAACCAATGAAATCTGAATAAGATCTGCAACACAGGTATTTATATTATGCCAATAATTTCCTAATATGATAATACATTATTGTTATATGAGATGATATCATTGGTACAAGGTAAGTGACAGGCATACAAGTCCTTTTGGTACTATTCTTGCAAATTCTTTAAAGTCTATCATTATTTTAAAATAGAGTTAAGATAAGCATATGAAAGGGAATAATCATAGTAATCAAGGAAATACAAATTAAACCACAATGGGCTACTAATAGACACCTACCAAAATGGGGAAATATCAAAAAATGTGGCTATTAAACACTAATGAGAGTGTGTAACAATAACAACTGAAACTCTCAAACACTGCAATTGGGTTATAAATTAGTGCAACTGCCTTTAAAAACTATTAAATCAATTAAAATGGACAGTTGTCTTATCAGAGAAATACACAGAGAAAGTGAGAAATCATCCCCCAGGAGGGATGGTCATGCTGCCGTCTTTTCTCTGTTGTCCTCCTAGGATTTTGGGCATGCATGGTCATATGCCTGGTGTGATTTTCAAGCTACCAGGTTTGGGACTCGACCCATGATTAGCCATTAACCACAATACCCACCTGCTAGCCCCCAATTGTTATTTACAATAAATGTAACAATATTTAAAAATATATGAACAAAAGAAAATAATCCCTCAAAATAATGCATCCTGTTATCCCTTTGCCTTAATTCCCCCCTTGGCATTGTTACATAGCTGTGCCACTTTGCCTTATTTTATCAGGCGTCCATGGGTGAATGCCAAGGAATTCTTTACCCGCCTGCCTACTTGAATAATATTGATCAAAGCGCAGCTCCCTTTTGGAAGAAAATGTGTACAGTATGATGTTTACAAGACGTGGTTGGAAGAGAAACAGGGCATTTTCAGTTGCTTGGAATAAGTGGTATAGGTTTAGCAATCTGAAACAGAAATAGAATGAGCATCTTGTCCAGCTTAGAAAAACCCTCAAGTCCTTTTATCATGTGACACCATCCTCTTGTGAATATTTCAGTCCTTTTACTGTGAATCATTAACAACTGCTATCATTAATCAAGAAAAGCTTTTAGCTTGTCATCAGGTTACCTTAATTTGGCACATTCGCAGCGTGGCTGTGAATAAAAACACTCAGCTATAATCTACAAATAACCCTGTTTTGTGTGTCATCTGTTGTATAACAACTTCCAAATGGCTTGAGGAAAACCCATGCATTTTCTAATGAAAGAGAAACAAGAAGAAAGAAAAGGGGGTTGGAAGGACAGGTAAAAATGAAAGAAGAGAAGGTAAGGAAATTCTAATTACTTATTTGAATTTGAAACTTTTCAGTTTTGTTTGAGGCATTCTAGAACACCCTTTTAGAAAATTACTAGTAAAAGAAACCCTTGAGGCCAGCAGGTGGTGTGGTAGTTAAGGCGTTGGACTTCCACATGGCTGACCACTGTTCAAGTCCCAGACCTGGTGGCTTGCTTTTGCTTTTTCTCTCTCTCTCCTTATCTGTCTCACTGTCTCTCTTTGGTGAGCACACATGATCTATAGCAAATTAAATAATAATAAATTAAAATTTTTTTAGATTTTATATTTAGTAAAGATTTTATTACAGTTTATGCATCTAAGTAGATCAATGATTTGTTTTCTGCCCTACAAGGATAGAGTTAAAAAGAATTAGAATAGTTTCTGAGCTTCCTAAAATCTCTGTATTTCTTACGAGTCTTGGAAAGTACCTTCTTAGGATAAATATCCTTGTATCCAAATAAAATTGTTCCATTCGACTGTGTTTTCACTGATTATAATTTATAAAGATTTATGGTTAACACTAGATCCCAGCCATACGAAATGGCTGTTTTGTCCGTCTTTTCCGAAGGTCTTACTGGCCCAGCGCCTGGGTGAGGGCCTCAGAACCGAAGTGGCCAGCGCTGGCCTGGTCCCTGCGGCCAAGCGAGCCCGCGCTTCAGCCTCCCGACTCTAGGGTGCGCTGTGGCCCGAGTCACACCTGGCCACGCCAGGCCGGTCGCGCTCGACCGCTCTCTCCCTCAGGTTGACGCGGAGGCAGAGAGGGAGGGGAGAGGACATTCAGCCGGTGGAAGGTGAGCGTTGGTGGTAGCTGTGGCGGGTGTTGGGTCGCGGAGCGCGGACCCAGAGGATTCAGGGCTTCTGGCCTATAGTGCAGCCGTCCCAGGGCTGGGCGGGCCTGGCTGCCCTGCGGCCTCGCCGACCTGGCGGTTCTCTTGGGTACTCGGAATCTTCGCCGCCCGTGGGCGCCCGGAACCCCCTTCTCGAGTTCTGGAGCGCTCCGGCCGCTCACACTGCAGGCACCGGACACTCCGGTGGGTTCTCAAACGTGGACCCCTCGTCCGGGAGAACCCGCCCCTTTCCTCTAAGCTCCATGGTGTTCCGGCTCACCTAGGCTCCGGTACTTAGGGAACTGCATGGGGGCGTGCTCTTGTCATTTTCACGAGATGCCACTTTTCTTTTGCAGCTGTGCTGGCATTCTTGCGTTTCCAGCCCAGCAACGGTGTCTGGAATTTGAATGCGTTTTTTCCTGGCAGCTTCTCAGGCATCTAGATGTCTCTGGGTAAAGTCCCCCACGCTGTCGGTAGTGTAGGTGCCACAACAGTGGGAGAAGCCAAGTAAGACTACTGACACTATGCCTCTGCTTTCTTCAGATACAGTAAATACAAGAGATAAAGAGATACTTCTTTAAAAGTTTGTTTTACATTATCACCAACAAATATAGGGCCAGCAGTGGCGCTGAGGTTAAATCTGCTGAATCCCACGCGGCGGACTGCCGTTGAAATCCACCTGGTTTGAAAACATGCACATGTCCAAAATCCTGAGAGAATGGAGAAGGGATTGTGAAGTGGCCATTCCCTTCGGGGGGGGGGGGTGATTTGTAATTTCTCACTTTCCCCTTTTCTCTGTCTCAGGTCAGCGCACTTGCCCTATAGCAAAAAACTACAAAACAACAAATATAGAACCCATTTTTTAAACTTAAGTGTTTATATTTTGTTTTCTTGAATCTTGTAATAGCTTGTAAATGCAAACTTTTTTCCGTTTAGGAGTAAGATAGGGTGAGGCGGTTGATTAAGGTTGTGCTGGAAATTGGAAGACCTGGGTTACTCCACTATCCTGGCAGGCAATCTCTTTGGGACTAGATTTGTCTTTGTTTAAAGGGGGTGAGGGAGCGCTATGGTGAGCTACCATTTATTGAACATCTAAATCTTTTTAAGTTTTGTCATTTAGTCCACACATCTATGCAGTAGACAGTTTTCCCCCTTTTATAAAGTTGGAAACAGAATCAGAAGTTGTCACTTACTCAGAGACACACAACTTACAAGTAGCAAGTTGGAGGGGGCCACTGACAATGGTACCATAGTAATACACTGCCCAGCAAGACTGGATCCATGTGGAAGATTGCAGATTCAGTTCCCAGTCAACCTGTAAACACCTATGAGCCTAGTGGCTGGGAAGGCTGGTGTGGGAATTGTGACAAAAGACCCTTTTGTCATCTTCTTTCTCTTTTCTCCCCTCAAACTCCATTCTGTCTGTCATGAAAGAAATTAAAAATATATTTATTAATTTAAAGATTTTGCCATAGGGTGTGTGCACTTGCTGGAGAGAGATGGACAGAGCCAATGAGAGGGACAGTGAGAAATCATCCCCTGGGAAGGCCGTGCTGCAATCTCTTCTCTGTTCTCCCCTTGGGATCTTAGGTATCCATGCCTGGTATGATTTTTAAGCCTCAATGTCCAAGACTTGAATTGTGGTGGGCCATGTAGGAGTCTAGTGCCTTAACCGCTTGCCAGAGAGAGGCAAAGTAGGAAATCACACCACTGCCGCCACCCCCCAGGGAGTCGCCACAGCACAATTCTTTCACCTTCATTCTCCTCTCAGAATTGGGGGCATGCATGCTTGAGCGTCCAGTGTGATTTTTCAAGCAACCAAGTCCCACCGCAATTGGCCATGCGGAAGTCCAGCATCTTTTTTTTTTTTTTTTTTGGAGAGGTTTTTGCTATAGGGCGCATGTGCTCGCCAGACAGACTGAGAAAGACAGAGAGACAGAAAGCAAGAAATCACCCCCCGGGGGGGGGGGGGTCATGCTGCAATCCATTCTCCTCTTGGGATCTTGGGCATGCATGCACATGCGCCCGGCGTGAGTTTTAAGCCACCGGGTCCAGGGCTAGAACTGCAGTCGACTACGTGGGAGTCCAGCGACATAGCCATTACGCTAACTGTTGGCCCAGGAAGTCCAGCATCTTAACTACTAGCCCATCTGATCCTTAGTCATGGCAGTTTTATGCTGGTGAATTGTCTGATGTCAGTTGCTAAATACATTCTTGATTTTCCTTCTAAGCAAGACTTTTACTCAAGGAGGGAAAATCATTCATAATAAATGCTCTGACTGTCTAGGACCATCTTGTATAGCTTCTCACATCTTGTGTTATTAATCTGGGGTTGGAGGGCTTCTCATGCTTTAACATTTTATCAGGAAGGGACAAATGAAGGGCATGCTACTTCGTTTAGATCTTTTTACAGAGAGAGATGAAAAGAATAGAGGCACCTGGATAGCACAGCCAGAGTTTCCTGATTGACTGTTTTGCAAGTGAACCCACATGCACATCACTAAATAATCACTAAGTGTGCAAGCCCACTTTCAAAAGACTAAAACTGGTTGGGGCCAGCAGTTGGCTTAATGGCTATGTCACTGAATTCCCATGTAGGTGACCGCAGTTCGAGTCCCGGACCCGGTGGCTTAAACTCACACTGGTTGCATGTGCCTTTGTGCCCAAGATCCCAAGAGGAGAATGGAGGAGAAGGGATTGTGACCTGGCCACACACAACCCCCCTGGGGGGTGATTTCTCACTTTCTATCTCTCTCTCTCTCTCTTTCTGGTGAACACACATGCCCTATAGCAAAAACCTCTCCAAAAAAAAGAATAAAACTGGTACCTCTGGTTGTGCAATCTGTCCAGGTCTGCCTTTTTTTTTTCTTTTCTTTTTAAAAAACTTTTTCTATCATCCACTTCTTGTTCCCTTATCTACTCATAACAAACTGTCAGGAGCAGTGCAATCCCTGCTAATACATATGTATTTGTGTTTTGTGTGATTCTCTTTCCTTTTTTTCTTTTTTTTCGGTAAGGCTATTGCTATGGGGCGCGTGAGCTTGATGGAGAGAGACACTGAAAGGGAAAGTGAGAAATCACCCTTTAAGGAGGATGGCTACACCACAGTCCCTTCTCTAGTCTCCTCCTGAGATTTTGGGCACACATGCACAGGAACCCAGCATGATCTTCAAGTCGCCTAGTCCAGGACTTGTACCACATTCAACCATGTGGGAGTCCAGTACCTTAGTCACCTCTCCACCTGCTGGCCCAATGTGACTCCCTTTCTAACACAGTAAATGAGGGTTTTGAATCAGCTTTAAAAATAAACAGATGTTCAAAGTGAGTAGGACTAGAGACTAGTTAATATCATACGCACATAAATATTGGGTTGTCAGAAAAGTCCTGACGTCTTTTTCCTATGTTTTTCTATGCAAAAATGCATCACGACTTTTCCATCATGACTTTTCCAACCCAGTATGTGCTAGTTACCTGGAGTGGGGGAGAAAAAGAATAGGGAAAAAAAGCTGGAGAAATTTATGGGAGGACTTAGGATGCTCTGAAGGGAAGGTGCTAGATGTTAACTCTTTGTATATGTGCAGTTCATTTGAGTGGTAATGTAAGAACAAGTTATTGCATGTTTTGATCTTATGATTAGTTCTGCAGCTCTTAAACATGGAGCATGTATTAATTCTGCACTCAAAAATAGCTAGTCAACTTTTACTTTCACATTAAAAGTTTACTTGCTGAAATAAAGATTTTATTCCCCAAAAGTACTGATAATTTACACATCTGTGAAGAAACGACTCAGGTTTTGCATTCTGTGAATTTTACTTGCTCAGTCAACCCATCTTGAACTTGTGTCCTAGTCATACATGTACTCCTCTGTGGGACGGGCATGTAAACAAATACAGAGGAATGTTTTCCTAGGTGATAAGATTTTTTTAGTTGTTTTTAAAAATAGTTATATGTATCATTTTTGGCTACTAATACCCTTTTGAGCTTAAGCAATCTATTTTTACATTTACAGTATGGATGATTGTTAAAAATTATTTATTTTGATAAATAGTATAAATAAGTCTAAGCAATTTTGGGAAAGTGATGGTAACATCTTCAGTGACTGACTCCATTAAAAAAAGAAACATCAATAAAACAGCATCTTATCCCACTTCTAATGAAAGAATGATAAATAATGGAAAATGATACTTTCATAGTTTCCAGACAGTATCACTAATAATGGAAATTGTGATATATTAAATATTTTTAAATGTACACATGGCAGGGTTGGGGGGTGGCAGGTGACATGGGTTTTTTAGTGCTAGACACCCACATGAGTGAGCATGGTTCAAGTTCCAAACCTGAGAACTTGAAGGTCATGCCAGGGGCATGTACATGTGTGCCCAAAATCCCAGGAGGGGAATGGAAGAGAATGAATTGCAGCATGGTCAATCTCCCAGGGTTGATCTCTCACTTTCCCTCTCACTGTCTTTCTGTCTCTGGTGAGCACACACACTCTATCACAAAAACCCTCAAAAAAAAAAAATGCATGTGGATTTCCAGTCCAGTTATTTAACTGTCATTTCTTAAAGAGTTTAGCATAAATTATACATTATTAAGGTGAATGTGAATCATTGAAGGCTGCAGTATAGCAAATACTACCTTGATTGTTTATTTTGTAAGTCATTACAAAGGAAGTGTAGATTCTGCTAAGAAAAAGGGAGATCAAGGAATTGTGGTAACTTGAAGTAAGTCATTACAATTAGTGTTGGAACACCATGCACACACAGGTTTTCACAGACATTTCATAGGTTGAATTTCATGACATCCCTTTAATTTTAAAATAGTGAAATATCTCTTGGTTATAACTAGTCATGCTCTCTCTCTCTCTGCATATATGCATACACACACACACATAAAATTTTGAACTTAAGGTGTTGAGTGATTTAACCATCCTCAATTCCTAGCACATTGTCACCCACACAAAGTGTATGTGATAAAACTATGCTCAGAGGACCCCTCTGTGCTCTAAGATATGTACTTTCTATACTTACCTCCTCCGTTAGCTTTTTTTTTTCTATAAGAGATCTTTATTTTAATTACATGCAGCCATTTTCAGTAATAAAAGGAAAATGATACTTGTATCAGTTTCTGGTGAGAATGACTTTTACCTTTGTATTTGCCTTTTCAAGCCTTCCTAGTATTTTTATCAAATGCCCCACTTTCAATTACCGTTGCACTCAGACTTGATTCAGTCTGAACAACATGTCCATTTGTTAACTGTTTCCTGCTTTACATTTCTTATGGCCCATTGGCTGTAATACTGCTTCCACTTTATTGATTGCTTCAGTGTGTGTTTTCTCTCTCCCTACATTCATAGTCAAGTTTTTAGCACAAGGAGAATCATCACTAACACCTAGTGTAGACACCTGGTGGCCAACATTGGTTACTTAAATTCTAAATATATTTGAATCCATCCTTATCCATCCCACTATCATGGCTAAGAGTTACTTTATTTAACTTTACTTATTTTAATTTGACCAGAGAGGGACAGAGTGAGAGCAACAGAGAGAGAGAGAGGGAAAGTGAGAAGGCAAGCTACCAGGAATGAGACTTGAATCATGGTCAGCCATGTGGGAGTCCAGCCCCCTTAACCACCATGCTGCCTGCCGGCCCCTAAAATCTTTTAAAAAAAAAAAAATGAGTATGATACATTTAGGATAAGAGGGAAAAAAAGGGTTTTCAAATCAAGAAGATAGTGGAATATGTGCTTCCCAGAGAGTTACTGATAGGAATGGGAGGGTGTGAGTACAAATCACTACTTAACCTTACTGCTTGGGACCGCTAGTGCTTGAGTGGGCTAATGGAGGAGAATGGGGGAGTATTTGGCCTGGGCAAAACTGTAGAAGATACCGACAGAGAGATACAAGTACTTTCTTCAGGTGTCCTGGAATGGCTGTTAGAAGGTGAGGAAGAGTGAAAACTGAAGGAAATGAAGAAAGTGGATAACCAAGGACCTTCCACCTTAGTCCTTGCTTAGTGTAATAGGATACCATGTGACAGACCAACCAACATTTCTCCAGACTTCTGTAAAAGTAAGAAGACAACCTTTTCTTACCTCACTGGTTTGATTTAAAAGATGAAAAGTAATGACCCATTTTACTCAAGGAAACTTTGTACCATTTACAGAGCATGTATTACATAAAACAGGATGATTGACAGTTGCTTTTGGTAAATATCAGGGCTACAATTGAAAACAGATGAATGTAAGAATGGTTTTAAAAGAGGTTTGTCAAAGTAAAACATTTATGAAGGAAAAAATGTATTGTTTATTTTTAGGTAGTGAATTGTCATTAGTCAAGATGTCTTCAGCACCTGAGCCTCCAACATTTAAAAATGAACCACACAAAGAGAAAGACTTTCGAAACCCAGGGCTCAGAAGTGTGCGCACAACGACCTTATTTCGAGCTGTGAATCCAGAGCTCTTCATTAAGCCTGTAAGAAATATGTCCAGGATAAGACTGTGTTTAATCAAACCAGGTGATCAGAAATAGTACTGGGGACAGCTGGTGGTGTGGTGGTTAATGGACTGAACTCCCACAGTTCAAGTCCCGGACCTGACAGCTTGCTTTCTCACTTTCTCTCCCTCTCTCTGGTCAAATTAAAATAATAATAAGTAAAATTAAGCAAATAATTCTTTAAAAAAAAAAAAGAAATAGAAAGTGCGTTTGTTTTATCACGGACATTTTGTGTTGACTAATAAGACATCCCTGTGGATAAAAGCAGGTGGGTGGAAAAATTTAAATGCTGTTTCACTTATAAATATACATGTAAAACTATATTGAGGATGTTTGAGAATTATAGTGGAAAACTGTTGTACTTTAATGGATCAATTTCTAAAACTAAAGTGCTGTTTTAATCATTGCCTTAATTTAAAGGCAGTTTTTATTGTTTAGTCAGGTACTATTAAGCAAATAAAATCTTCCACTGAAACAAAAAGATTAAAATGAAAGTCTGACCATTTTTACACTGTACCCAGCCTATACTTTCACCTAAGCAGTATTGCAGACATCTTGGGAAAATTTCAAAAAATACATTTGTACCCTCTTTATGGAGGTAGCTAATCATTTACTTTCTTATTGCAAATTGGCAAATATACTTGATTTGATGAATTTGATGTTTAAATGTAAGTTCTATTTTTAAATAAATGTAAATAGTATTGAATCTGATTAGAATTTTAATAATATAGTTGCTGGTATAAACTGTTTTAAAGTTAAATAGGTCAGCTTAACAATCAAATAATTAAATCAAGTTAAAACATTTTAAAAACTTTAATGTTTTCTTTTAATTGGCTAAAAGCATATCAACAATTGCAAATTTAAACTGCTCTGAGCATGTGGCCTGCCTTAAGTGTTCATCTACGTAAAAAAGTTTACCCATATTCTTTTGTGATTAACATTTGAAATAGTAGTACACAGCAGGTATGGTGACAGAAGCAGAAAATACTACATATTTATGTCACTCCTGTGCATTTGCACCTATCTAAGAACTGTTGACTGTGAACATGCAAAAAGGGGGGTCTGAGTTACAGCTTGAGGAATCACAAGATGTAGTAGGCAGAACACTTCTTTAGAGTTGTGAACATGTTTTTGCTTTATGTGAAAGCTGTTTTCCTTTTTTTTAAAATCATAGCTTCATCTCCCTTTTAAGATTTTCCAGCAGTAAATTAAGATTATTATAACAATAAAAGATCTGTTGTGAATTTTTTGAGGTAGTAGAGTAGGTTCCCAGGGAAGAGTGTATTCGTTGTCATCACTGCTATGCCTGATACGTGCTATGAAAGGCTTTTGACCAGTTATCCATGAGCAAGAAGAATAGCATGTGTATTTCATCCCTTACTTCCTAATAAAATGAACTAATTTGAGGTTTGCAAATGGAGAGACTTAGGCCCAGAGAAGTTAAGCAACTTCTCATCACATAGGTAGCTGAAAATTCTGAAGCCTCATCCCTCTCCTGTCACCTTCCTGAGGGTAGATGTCTGAGATGTGTAGGCTATAGATGGAAGAAGGACTGGAGAGAAGGGTCTTCTATAATCTCTATATAATGCAGACGCTGAGCTAACTGAATAAGGAACTGAGTAAGTGATTATAGTTGAAATGCTGCCATAGGAATGCTGCTGGGTAATAAGGAGTTGGGAAGTCCAGAGAAAAGTGCAACAGATACTGGCCTGTCTTAATGAGGCTTTATCATTTCTTTTCCTTTGACAGAACAAACCTGTAATGGCTTTTGGATTGGTAACCCTTTCACTTTGCGTGGCTTATATTGGTTATCTACATGCAACACAAGAGAATAAAAACGACCTCTATGAAGCTATTGATAGTGAGGGACACAGTTATATGAGGAGGAAAACATCTAAGTGGGATTAACAGTGCTGGTTACTACAGATGGAGCTGTATTGAGGGCTCCGAAATCTGCAAATGCAGGACCTTATGAGTGCACAGTATCATGTTTCTTGTTCCAGAATGTGTTGATGAAGAGAGAAGGTAACATTGGCAACCTGATCACTATAATAAATTTTATCTCATTCTTTTCCACAGAAAGAGTGCCTCATGTTTTTCTTCCTTTAAATATTATGAACATAAGAAAAGTCATTTTTTTATTATTAAGTTCTGTATAATGAAAAGTACTCAGTACTGTTATATTTGCATGATATTTTTAATATTTTAAGACAAATTGTATCTTTACAATTGTTATTACAGTTTAGTTTTGTTTTGCAATTTGCAAAGAAAATGTTGCCTTTTCTTCCTGGCATAGAACCTGTGTTTGTAAAATAAGAGAAATTGTCCTTTTTAAACTTGAAGTCAACGTTAAAGTGTGGTAAGTGAAAAAGCAAATTGGCTCTGACAGATAACTTTTGCAGTCATAGATAGTTCATGTATTTTGGTTTCCATTTCAGCTATTTATAGTTCATAATTTTACTTTAATTGAAAAGATACTCTGACTCAGCTATTAAAGATTAAATGAAAGAATAACCCAAAGTAATTGGAGTTTTTCTTTTCTTTAAAAAAAGTGTGAAATATATTTTTATTTTCATTTTTAAAAATATTTTTTATTGCTAGAGAGCACATGCATTCATTAGAGAGAGAAAGAGAACACAACCCCAGTGGAGCATAGTTACGCTGCAATCCTTTCTCTCCATTTATCCTTGGGCAGACACATACTTGTGCCTGGTGTGTTTTTCAAGTCGGCAGAGCCAAGACTAATACCATAGTGAGTGTAGGATCTGACTCCCTTAACCACTGTGCTACAGAGCTGGCCCATAGTTTTTATTTGACTACAACTAAATGTTATCTATTTTAGTTTTTATAAATTAATGTTACAGTGATCATATAACTAAATAGTTTATGTTTTTGTTTGTTCATTTGTTTTTTTAATTTGCCAGAGGATGTGTGCACCCACTAGAGGGGGCAAGAAAGGAAGCATTCCTCAATGGGATATAATCACACTGCAGTCTCTTCTCCATTTCTCCATCCCATCAGGATTTTGGGCACGCACACACATGTGCCTAGTACGCTCAAGTGTTCATACAGTTACTTAGAAACTAGAACTACTCAGTAGATAAGAAATAGGTAAGATTGTCTTACTGCCCTGGGTTTACCTCATAAAATTTAAATATTTCCAACAAGAGTTCTGATCTGTTGCATTTCTGAATATTTTCCCTGTTCTCCAAATCACTCTAATTGGGGCTTGCTAATAATCTTATCTCTAAAGTTTTGTATCATTGTTACCAACTAATAACAGTACAGGCAGGGTTTTATCATTATGTTCATTTTAATTTCTAATATTGTGATTTTGTAAGATACATGAGAATGCAATTAGGTCTGCTCTGTAGATATTAAAGAGCTTAACTAATTGAGTTTATCTGCATGGAACTAAATTAAATCTTTACTACATGAGCCCTAAATATGTCTTCATTATGCCTGTATATAATGTACTTCATATAGTTTAAAATATAGGTTTTTCTGTGCTTAAAACCTAAACATCTTATTCTTAAGGGCTTAGTACCAATTTGGTGGTACAAACTGCCTTTTAATTCAAATATTCTACTTATGGTTACCTTATGTATTTTGTTTGCTATAGAACTAGGGTTCTTCAGCCCATCAGGATTTTGGGCACGCACACACATGTGCCTAGTACGCTCAAGTGTTCATACAGTTACTTAGAAACTAGAACTACTCAGTAGATAAGAAATAGGTAAGATTGTCTTACTGCCCTGGGTTTACCTCATAAAATTTAAATATTTCCAACAAGAGTTCTGATCTGTTGCATTTCTGAATATTTTCCCTGTTCTCCAAATCACTCTAATTGGGGCTTGCTAATAATCTTATCTCTAAAGTTTTGTATCATTGTTACCAACTAATAACAGTACAGGCAGGGTTTTATCATTATGTTCATTTTAATTTCTAATATTGTGATTTTGTAAGATACATGAGAATGCAATTAGGTCTGCTCTGTAGATATTAAAGAGCTTAACTAATTGAGTTTATCTGCATGGAACTAAATTAAATCTTTACTACATGAGCCCTAAATATGTCTTCATTATGCCTGTATATAATGTACTTCATATAGTTTAAAATATAGGTTTTTCTGTGCTTAAAACCTAAACATCTTATTCTTAAGGGCTTAGTACCAATTTGGTGGTACAAACTGCCTTTTAATTCAAATATTCTACTTATGGTTACCTTATGTATTTTGTTTGCTATAGAACTAGGGTTCTTCAGTTTTGTGCATTTAATATCACATTGCTGCCTTTTAGAATTCTTTTACTATTCAACAAAATGTTGATATTCATGGCAGGGAATATATTAGTTGGGTGCGCTATCAAGAGACTGTAGTACAGAAGGGCAGTAGAAATCCCACGCTGTGCAGCCTTTAGCCATGTAGCATCTGTGTGACTGAACCAGGGTAGCAGCTGAACCAAGTTAATCAGAGCTGTGAAAAACTGTGAGGGAAGAAACACATTGAATTTTAGGAGCAAGTACCTAATTATGATACCTTTTAGAAAATGTTTACAGGTTATAGCACCGATGTGTGTGCAAAGTATTAAAGGCTGCCTACCTGCTGTGTTGATGTTTTCATCCAGTCTACCAAATGAGAGGGCAAAGTCACCAAAAGTACCATTTGAAATAGTCAAGATATTGAACTCCGGGTTTCACCTAATTCAATCCTGTCAGTTTATGGTTAAGACAACAGGCTGATTTACCCAAGATCACAGTAATTCTGAGCCATGACTGAGACCTCTGTCTCCTTGCCTCAGAGGTCCTAAAGTCTAGGGATCTTTTCAACATGCTATACCACCTCTTATGTGTAAATGTCCACGTAATAATCAGCTACATTACTGCTTAAACAAGATGTTTAGGCTTTAAGTACAGAAGAAATGCTTTATTTTGAAACAAATTTATGTAAAGGATTATTAATATCAGCTCTCCAAAAGGACTATCAGAACAACCTGTTGCTCAAACAAAACTATTAATTTTTTTTTATTATTATTTATTTATTTATTTATTTATTTATTTTTTTATATTAAATTATATTGCTTAACATTTATTCCCTGAGTATCATCACAACACACCAAGTGTAGTTTCCCATCCAGGATAAACTGCATGGTGTCTTAATCAAGCATGTCGTCACCAATACTGTTCCATTTCTACTTTCATACATATAAATATGTTTTTTGTCCTATGTTTGACCCTCAGCCCTTTCCCCCTCTCCCAATTACTCTATCTCTGCTATAGACAGCTATCCTCCAGAGGGGTCATTGAAAATGCGATACCTGCGAGTAGAGGGAGAGGGGTCACAAGTCCAAAGTTTTTAACAATAGGGAAAATAGATTCCATTCAAGGTTGGATCAAGTGTGGGTCTCGTGCAGTTCCGCAACTGTAGGTGAGTCTCCATGGAATACAGTTTCAGGAAGGC